CTCCGCCTTCATCGACACAGAACGCGGCGGCGCCGGCGCTGGCAAGCCGGCGTCCTTGCCGTAGTAGATTCTCCTCGTGAGCTGGAGGCCGAGCTCGACCGCCTTGGAGAAATCTGCAGCCATTTTCGTCTGCTGCTGCGATAATTACAGTGATAAACTTTTGGCTTTTGTGGTGTTTGGGGAAGATGAATGAAGAGCTTTTTGCGTTCAGATGGGGAGCTATTTATGTAATTACCAAAATTGTTCTGGTGCTTTCGGCTAAAGAGCTTTATTACTCTTTATGCCCTTTGACTTTGGTGTTTTTGTATTTTGACCTCTCTACTTTGAAGTTTGAATTGCCTTGAAAGTATTTATAATAATAATAAAAAAAAAAAGGCTAATGGTGCTTTTACCATTTAAGGTAAATAGAATTTAACATATTTCTCATCGATTTTGTTATGAAATCAACAGTTGGCTCCGTAGTAGAACAAACCTTCTATATGCAACAAATAAAATTACCATATTAATAAAATTATATTAATGTTATTTAAGTAATCATATAATATAGTAGGTTTACCATACTAAATTTGTATATATAAGTAGAAATAAAAATATAATGTATTTAATTATCTTACATTAATAGATATGTGTCAAATATAATTATTCTGTTGCTAGGAAATGAGAGCATTTATCGATTTAAAATAAAAATATCATAAGATTGATAAATTTATTGACACGTGAAAAAGTTGTTATATCTATTGTAGGTACCTCTCATCAATCAAAAATCACACAACATAAAAGGACCAATTTGAGTACATTTGTTTTTAATATAAGAAGCAAATTTGTGGTGTATAGCCACCCACAAAAAACCACTCCAAATAAAAGAGGGATAAAACTACAAAAGTGGAAAATTCCAAGGGCCAAACTGCAAACCAGCAAACTACCCACCAATCATATTTTAATTATTTTTCAACCAATATGAACACGACACGTATTAGTAATATTTGTTATTATTAATATTTATTTTACTTTTAGTTTTGCTCCTTACATATTATTAATATTGAGGCTTGTCTTTTACTAAACAAGGGACAACTTTTGGATTGGTAGCATGCTAGTTCCAATAACGTGATGACAAGTCAATTAGGATGACGGAACAAAGTTAAGCATCTTAGGTTAGGTAGTGGAAATGCTTTTAATTATTAGTACTAATTTAATTAGTGATTATGACAATGTCATGTATAGAGTTATAAACGATGTTGAATCGAGGTCGAGCTTTTTATATTAAAGCTCGAGCAGGGGCTTTATCTGATCGAATCGAGTTTACGTAAAATTTTCAATTTTTAATTTCAACAAGTAGAGCTTACGAACAACTCATTTAGTTTAATATCTCTAATGATTATAAGCTGCCACAAATGTCATGTATAGAACTATAAACAAGTTTGAACCGAGCTCGAGTTTTTTATATTTCAAGATTGAGCAGGGGCTTTATTAGGTTGAATCGAGTCTACGTAAAATCTCCAATTTTCAATTTCAACAAGCTGAGCTTACGAACAACTCGTTTAATTTAATATCTCTAATCATGTCCAATTAATTTATTTGCATCCCCCATTTTCTTTTATCTTGCTAGTTATTAAAAGTTATATATTATTTTGCAATGTACACTTTAGGATAAACATTAAGGTTATATTTGGCACACAAATAATCTAGTTCATAGCTTATTTTGTTAGCTTATAAGTTATAAGCTTTATATATTCAAATAAGTTTCGTTTGGTAGGACGAACTTTTTTAAAAAGCTCGAGTTTATTTGATAACCTTTTTTATGTAGTCTGTCAAATAAGCTAGTTGATTTTTTGTATTTTAGTTAGCTTATCAACTAATTTTACCAAACACTTTTATCATATAAAATAGCTTTTCGACTACAAGTCATAAGTTATAGGCCTTGTTTGGTAATCAGCGGTTAGCTGTTAGCTGTTAGCTGATTGTATCAGCTGTTTTGACTAACGGATTGTGTCAGCTGTTTTGACCAGCGGTTTTATTAGCGGTTGGTTATAAAATTGTTTGGTAAATTAGTTGTCTCTAAATAGCTGTTAGCATACAAAATTACATAAAAGGACATTCATTATTTTAAATTTCTTTCTAATGTTAAATTGTAATTACTTAGAAAATGCAAATAATTCATATTTTATATACTGTAAAGTAATTCAAATTAATATAAAAACAAAAATAAATAATGATTAACAATAAAATTAACCCTAGTCTCTTCAATTAAGGTACCTATTTTGTTATTAAATCACTTTTTTCTTCTTTTCTAGTTGCAGGTCTCTTTCTTTTCATTTTTATTTTATACAATTGAAATTTTTTAAAAAAAAGTTGGTTAGTTTAAGGTTATTTTAAAGTAAAATAATAATTGAATTTTAATTGTCAAAATACTCCAACGGCAAAAGCGCATGCATAACAAAAAGGTGGACATGTAAGGATTAAATTGGAACTTGATTTTTTTTTTTATTGGACAGCCAAAGCCAAACGCTGCTAATTGCAGCGTTTCTCATTCAGCGGATTGGACATAAAAAAGCTAACTTAAACGCTATTAACCAAACACATTTTTTAATGGATTGAGAAAAGTCAAAACAGCCAAAAACTTGAACAGCTAATTTTTTGTCAAAACGCCATTTACCAAACATGGCCATAAGCTATAAACTAAAAATTACTGATAAGCTATAAGCAAGCTTATCAGCTATTTGCTAGTTCTACCAGACATAACCTGCAAAGATGGATTCCATCAAATTTGACCAAGTGTTAATTAGGTAAATCATATGGTCAACTTAATACATTGTTATGCTTTTAATTAGTAATTTTATGCGAATCCCGGGATGTAACTTAATTGCTTATGGATAAAGATAATAGAGTTGAAAATAATTAAATTATTTGGAAACTATAAAGTTTTAATTTGAGCTTTATGACCAACTACCCATTGGTCCAACATATAACATCTACTTACTATGATGTTCGTTCGTATAAAACAGTTGGACATTTAATATAGAAAAATACAAATTTAGCAATTTCAATTGTCAAAAAATGTCCAGTTGTGTGACAAAGACGTTGAAGAAATATCTCTCACATAATTTGGGTGAGCAAAACTAACCAAAAATCCAGATTCGATGCAGTTTGATTCGGTTATTTTAATTTATAAAATTTGTTGTTCATTTCGGTTTGTTTTCTTTACGTGTGTGTTGCGTTGTGTTTCAATTATTTTTACCTTTTCTTTATATTGATGTGATTTTGCACGAATCGAATCCAATTGTATATAGAAAAAATGGAAAACTAAGTCGAATCGTGTGATTCAATACGGTTCAGTTTAAGTTATATTTAGTGAATAAAATTTTCTGTTCAACTTTTTATACAGTGCACTATGGTTTTGTTTGAAAATTATACTATTTTAATATTTGCGATTAATGTGGTTTTATGCCGAACGGCATCGTTGCTCACCTCTATAATGTATAATTGTCATTAAGTCTGATACAAAAAAAATAACATTTAAATTTCATTATAAATATTTAATTACAAACACTAATCATTGACACCAATTATGGAGTGTTGCCATTGCAATCAATTTGATATATCTTTGTCACTTGGCCCCAATGGGGACCATTTAACTTTATTGTATGTTCTACAAATTTTGACTATAAAGTTATTGTTCTTAATAATAGGGACCCCTAAAATCATGTGGAAGACTTTAATTAAAAATTAGGGGACAGTTTTTAAAGTAGCCCACAATATTTAACAAATTCAGATTATCTTTTTATTGATTGGGACTAAATGGTGAGTTGTTGACTATTATAATTATGTGAAATGTTACGGTCTCGTTACGGAATCGTTATGTCGGGATTTGTAACCGTTAGATTATCATGTAATCGTTGGAGATAGTTGATCTAACGATTAGAAACCCGACGGGAAGGTTCTATAACGGGACCGTAGCATCTCCATATAATTATAGAGTACATTAAAAAATTCACCTAATTATTGGTTTTGGTATGCGGAAATAGTTTATATAGAGACACTTGTACATAATTAGCCGATGGTGAAAAATATTATGGATTTGTGGTGAATGCAGTCTTTATTTAATTTACATGAATGGATTGTTATTGTTGTCCAGATATACTAATATTTATAAATTATTTAATTTGATTGATAGAGACATTTGTGGTAAATTAGCACAATTCTACTATATTGTGTCGAATACTTAACCGTTTTTATCCATCAAAATATTATTAATTTAAACGATTTAGAAAATAAAAAGACACTAAAATATCACACTGTCCTTATTATTTAGTACTTATTCAATAATATAAGTACAATGAAATAGTTATTATTATTATTACAAGCTACCATGCAGGGCCGTCTCAACAATTTCGAGGGTCCTTGGGCAAGCAAGACACTAAGGGCCCGACAATCTAATTAAAAATTGAATATAACAATTGGAGTATATAGTACTATTTACAAGAGATAACTTGCAATGTATATTTAACCAATAAAAAAAGCAGTACATTTAAAAAAGGTAAAACAATAGTAAAATTTTGGATACTTCAAATAAAGCTATGCTTCAGTTCTTTTTAAAAATCTGTCTTCGAGCATTTCTTGATGCAAAATCTTCAAGAACAACATCAAGATCAATTTGATT